CTTCTTTTCTTTACATACACAAAAACACATTCTCAGCGAAGAACAACAAATGAACGATAAATAAATGAAAAAAGCAAAAAACAACAAAATCGAATAAAATGATACACTGGTAAATAAACAAGACAATTAAATGAATAACCACACAGGTGAGAAATGGTAATCAAGGAATAGGTAATTGAACTCATTAATCTACCTTAAGATTACCTGGTCATTAAACACCTTCCAGTTATATCAAAATTGGTTAATTGGGACTAGTTTTTATTTGTTTTTTTACTATGATAACAAGTTTTAAGATTCTAAATATGATATCAAATTACCTGGGGGTCATTTACAGCCTTTAAATATGATAGCAAGGTGGATTAATTTGGTCAGGTGTAAACGTGTGATAACCCCTTTTGGATATCTTGTTTGCTCACAGGTTGTAGTTGTAGTGTGTTGTAATGTTGTTATTGTTGTCATATGTTATCGGGGAATTGGTTCTTTTTGATAACTGTTATGTATTTTTCTGTAATTAATGACTGAGGATACTATAATACTACTACTACTACTACTAATAATAATAATAATAATAATAGTATTATTATTATTATTATTATTATTATTATTAAAAATATTAATATAATGAAAATAATAATAATAATATAGAATAATAATAATAATAATAAAATAATAATAATAGGAATAATAATAGAAATAATGATAATAATAATAAAAATAGTAATATAATGAAAATAATAATAATAATAGTAATAATAATAAAAATAATGATAATAATAATAAAAGTGGTAATATAATGAAAATAATAATAATAGTAATAATAATAATAATAATGTTGATAATAATAATAAAAATAGTAATATAATGAAAACAACAACAATAATAATAATAATAATGATAATAATAATAATAATAATAATAATAATAAAATAATGAAAATATTAATAGTAATAAAATAATGAAAATATTAATAGTAGTAATAATAATAGTAATAAAATAATGAAAATATTAATAGTAGTAATAATAATGATAATAAAATAATGAAAATAATAATTATAATAATAAAATGAAAATAATAATAATAATATAGTGAAAATACTAATACTAATAATATAATGAAAATAATAATAATAATAATCATAATAACTACAATAACAACTACAGCCATATTAATAATTACAGTATAATAACAACTAATAATAACCAACATTGTTTTGTAATTAGAACCCACTGTGGTACACGGTTACAAACTACAGGTACAGGAGCTAATGGTAGTTACAGTGATAACATTTATAACGCCTAGATAGCAGCTGTTATCTACGAATTCATTTACCACAGTAATTACGGTTTATTGTTCTGTTATTAGTGCGTCATCAAGTGTTATCGGCAAGTTCTTGTGTTTACTCGAATTTATCACCAAATTGTTTCATTTATCTGTTATCAAGTCGTCTTCTTTTTTTAGTATTATTCTGCTTGTTCGTTTTATTCGTCTTGCTCTTCTTCTCGGGTTTTTCCTCTTCCTGTTTTATTATGTTTGGTGCTTTTATGTCATAACTTTATTGGGGAAGAAATGTGTTTTTATTACTCTCTCTCTCTCTCTCTCTCTCTCTCTCTCTCTCTCTCTCTCGCCTCAGACGGAAGCTCCCATATAGTCAGTTAAAATCCCACACATAATTAGATATTCACCTGCTCCCGGGACTCAATAGAGGAGTGACCGGCCATCCACTGCCCACTGGCCATCGGATCAACTTACAAACGGACGCCAGCACGAGTACCACCAGCCCGTGTCATAGCCCTTTAAACTCATTACTGGAGGCTTTTGATGAACACTTAACGACTCTGGGTGTTTTTGTGGTGGTCAGGCGATGATGGTGCGTGGGAAGTGTGTGGTGGTGTGGTGGGTGGTGAGTGGTAGTGGGAAGTGTGTGCTGGTGGTGGTGGTGGGTGGTGGTGGTGGAGGGTAGTGGTGGTGGAGGGTAGTGGTGGATGGTAAGGGTAGTGGTGGGTGGTAAGGGGTAGTGGCTGGGTGTTGGAGATAGTACTGGGTGAGGTTGTGGTGGGTGTTGGGGGTAGTGGTGGGGTTGGAAGAGTGTAGTAGGTGGTAAGGGTAGTGGCTGTGGTAAGGGGTAGGTTGGTGGTAAAGGGTAGTGGCTGGGTGGTAAGGGGTAGTGGGCTGGGTAGGCGGGGTAGTGGCTGGTGGTAAGGGTAGTGGCTGGGTGGTAAGGGGTAGTTGTTGGGTGGTAAGGGGTAGTGGCTGGGTGGTAAGGGGTAGTGGCTGGGTGGTAAGGGTAGTGGCTGGTGGGTAAGGGTAGTGGCTGGGTGGTAAGGGTAGTGGCTGGGTGGTAAGGGGTAGTTACAAGTGGTATGCAGTGGGCTGGGTGCAGGGAGGGGTAGTGGCCAAGTGGTAAGGAGTAGTAGTTGAGTGGTAAGGCAAGGGTTGGGTGGTGGAGGGTAGTGGTGGTGGAGGGTAGTGGTGGATGGTAAGGGTAGTGGTGGGTGGTAAGGGGTAGTGGCTGGGTGGTAAGGGGTAGTGGCTGGGTGGTAAGGGGTAGTGGTTGGGTGGTAAGGGGTAGTGGCTGGGTGGTAAGGGGTAGTGGCTGGGTGGTAAGGTGTAGTGGCTGGGTGGTAAGGGGTAGTGGTTGGGTGGTTTTCCTGACGTCATACACAGGTGAGATAGGACAGGTAGAACACCTCTTGCTTACCTCAATACACCAGGTTAATGGGTGAAGGCGACAAGATCTTCATAATAAACACAACGTAATTTTCCCACCAAGAAACACAACAACGACTTCTTGATCACCTCCACCAATTTGATCACTCATCACCTGATCACTAATTACACCTAATCATTCCTTAATTATGATGGTAATTAAATGCACGAGATACAATTAAGGAATCATCATTGAGCCTCTACAGTATAGTCATTACATCTCCTCTCTACCTACTTGTATATGCACTTAAATAATTCCTCCTTTACAATTATCTACACAATTTCTTAATCTCCTCCTTCAAGATGGCCCTCAAGTAGCCAATTTTTCCCCATTTGGTCCAATTAGACAGGTTGAACGAGGTCTTAATCACCATCCCTGCATACTGGAGGTCGGGGGTAATAGTGATGGCTGCCTATACTCATCTCCTTCATGACTAATTATAATGCTACATGGTGTCTTCCTCACTGGTCTTATCTACATCATCACCTGAGCTTACCTGATGTGATTAGTTCTCGGATCTCGTTGGCAGGAGATGGTTGTTGTAGTGGTGGTGGTGGTGGTGGTGGTAGTGGTGGTTCTAGTAGTATTAATAGAAGGGGAAGAGGGAGAGTGGTAGTAATAATTGTAATAGTAGTAGTAGTAGTATCACATTATGCTGTAGTTACTCTTTAATATATATTTACTCATTTTCTATAATAATAATAATAATAATAATAATAATAATAATAATAAATACGTTGGATTAATAGGGATTTTATTTTTCGCTGTTGCTTCGACATTTTCTATGAGTATTTAATAGTTACTCTTGAACATATACAGACCCATTTTCTATAGTTGAAGATAATAATGATAAGTATGATTGTTATATAGATCCTGAGTGTGTTATAGATGGTGTTCCTGCGACATATACTGTGGGTGCTTAAGGATATTGTAGTTACTCCTCAACGGATTTGTACCCATTTTCTATAATCCAGATAATAATTATAATAAACACGCTTCCTGATTATAGTGTGTGTGTGTGTGTGTGTGTGTGTGTGTGTGTGTGTGTGTGTGTTGCGAGATTCAGGGCGGCTACTTAAGTTATATTGTACAAACACAGACCTGAAAGTAAAGTTTCTTAGGGCCCAAATTCTTTTAATCAGACTAATTGTTAAGTCATCGTGCTCCTCTGCTCTCAGATCTCCTTGTTGAGTAATTCATCATCCAGTGTTATGAATAAGTGATGAATACCCAGATTACAATCTCTCCTAAGATATGAATAATGACAGACGAAATCTTGTTTTTTAAAGTTCGTACCCAGTGTGTGTGTGTGTGTATGTGCGTGTGTGTGTGTGTGTGTGTGTGTGTGTGTGTGTGTGTGTGTGTGTGTGTGTGTGTGTGTGTGTGTATGCAGTACCTTGAGGGAACAATTTGCTTGTTCCTTGTAATGGTGTCAAACAGTGTCACTACGCCCCTATAACCTTGAAACTAAGACCTCGAGAAAAGTGCTTCATAACCCTGGCAATTGAAGCACCTTAACACAACAACAACACTGGCATAAAGCACTGACCACCCTACTCCTGCGGCCACGTCAGTGTGAGTAATGAGACGTATTATGACTCTTGTTAGGATTGATTAGGGTCGAGACTCGTTTCTTTAGCAGGTAGAGGCCAATAACTGATCACTTTGTCATAGGGGGGGAAAAATCTGCTACCTGCACTCACCCTACCCCCTACCCCGACCAACCGCACACACAAAAAAAAAATGGGAAAAAAAGGAGAGGGGAAAAAAGTCCTGCTTCCCGTTTTCTATCGTGTTTTGAAAGCTATCCACAGAAAATTGTTTATTAGGAGAGGTAGACTCATTTGAAATCATGTCCTTTGATTTTTGCTTGATACTGACGGTGTATTTTAAGCTCTCTCTCTCTCTCTCTCTCTCTCTCTCTCTCTCTCTCTCTCTCTCTCTCTCTCTCTCTCTCTCTCAACTTTTTCCTTAATTATTATTCATTTCAGTTACTGTCAATTATGATTAATGTTGATGACCCGAAGAGCGATCACCTAACCTAACCCACCCCTAACCTAATTTAACCTAACCTAACCCACCCCTAATCTAACCTTACCTAACCCACCCTAACACATCCCAACCCACCTCAAATCTAACCTACCCCATCCCAAACCTAACCTAACTCACTGTGTACGAAATTGTCCCACTTATCCAATATATATCTACTAAACGACACATATTAACTATGGACCTGGTAATAATTTATGCTATTTACTCACTTGAATAAAAATGTATGTAATGTATTTATTTTCAAGAGACTCTTATCCTTTCAATATTCTTAGTCACGTCATTCTTCTTAGTCACGTCATTATTCTTAGTCACGTCATTCTTCTTAGTCACGTCATTCTTCTTAGTCACGTCATAATTCTTAGTCACGTTATTATTCTTAGTCACGTTATTATTCTTAGTCACGTTATTATTCTTAGTCACGTTATTATTCTTAGTCACGTCATTCTTCTTAGTCACGTTATTATTCTTAGTCACGTTATTATTCTTAGTCACGTTATTATTCTTAGTCACGTTATTCTTCTTAGTCACGTCATTATTCTTAGTCACGTTATTATTCTTAGTCACGTTATTATTCTTAGTCACGTTATTATTCTTAGTCACGTCATTATTCTTAGTCACGTTATTATTCTTAGTCACGTTATTATTCTTAGTCACGTCATTCTTCTTAGTCACGTCATTCTTCTTAGTCACGTTATTATTCTTAGTCACGTTATTATTCTTAGTCACGTTATTATTCTTAGTCACGTTATTATTCTTAGTCACGTTATTATTCTTAGTCACGTCAATCTTCTTAGTCACGTTATTATTCTTAGTCACGTCATTCTTCTTAGTCACGTTATTATTCTTAGTCACGTTATTATTCTTAGTCACGTTATTATTCTTAGTCACGTCATTATTCTTAGTCTCGTCATTATTCTTTCTTGGTTTTATATTTGTATCTGTGATTCTCTTTAAATAAAATGTTTCCATAAAAATAAATAAGGATTCAGTGCCTCTTCTTTAGGTACTCCGGGGCGTCACTTTTACTAAGGATTCGTCTGGTCTGTGGAAGTTAGGTTAGGAATTGGTTTGGTTAGATTGCATTAGGTTATGGTTGGGATATATTAGGTATTGGTCAGATTAAGGTAGGCGTTGTTGCTTAGGTTAGTTTTAGTTAGGTTTGGGTAGAATAGGTTAAGTTAGGGTTCGGTTTGACTGTGTTAGGTTCGGGTTGGGTCAAGTTAAGTTAGGTTCCCTCCCTCAATCACAATCAACACCGCCATCCCTCCCTCCCTCCCTCCTTCCCTCTACCACATTCCACCATCGCTCCCTCCTTTCCTATCTCCACCACACAATCAGCGCCACCCTCCCTCCCCCCACCACACTCAGCACCACCCTCCCTCCTTCCCCCCACCACACTCAGCACCACCCCCTCTCCCTCCCTCCCACCACACCTCAGCACCAACCCTCCCTCCCTCCCTTCCTTCCTTCACCACAATCAGCACCACCATCTCTCCCTCCTTTCCTTTCTTCATCACAATCAGCACCACCCTCCCTCCACCATCCTCAGCCTCACCCCTCCCCTCCAACATCCTCAGCACCACCCTCCCCACCACCACCATCAGCACCACCCCTCCCTCCACCACCATCAGCACCACCCTCCCTCCTCCATCCTCAGCACCACCCTCCCTCCACCATCCTGAGCACCACCCTCCCTCCACCACCATCAGCACCTCTCTCCCACCACCACCCTCCCTCCACCACCATCAGCACCACCCTCCTCCCTCCACTGCACGGTGGGAGTAAGTCCTTGTTCACAAAACTTACTAATTATTTGCATGCTACCCGGGAATTTTCACTCGGCGCATCACAGGCTTAGTGCGAGGCTGACTAATGTCGTAATTAACGCCTCCTCTCACTCCTTCATTGATTGATCTACAGCTCTTAATATAATAGTTTACATCACCTTACACACTACACCAAGTCTCCCTGCCACAAACTTAGACACTGAAGAACTTGGTGTCTGTTGTCTGCCTCGCGTAAAGTGGATTAAATCTCCATCTGCCGGTATCATAATAAACTCTTTAAGCATTTTAGAACGCAGCATGACGCACTTTTCCTCTCTTAAAACCGGGCTCGTCGCCCCTCTCCCCTCAGAGGGTTGCAAGGCCGCGCGTCGGGCGGTACAGCCCAGCTGGCCTGACGCAGCTGTCAGAGAAAACGTACCTAAACACCCGGACGGAGCGACCATTCTCTCTGGAGCGTCTGGGACACTACTCTAATCTCTCGTTAATACTGTGTGAAGCTCTCGTTAATGTGTGGAGACTTAATGTAACGAGTATTCATATGTTAAAAGTCAGTTACAGTTCATTGGGTGTAACGACATACTCAAGCAACAAAACAACGAGTTATATATATCTAGTATTTCACTGCCTGAATCATGATGGTTTTAGTCTGAATTTCCACTAAAACTTTATCACGGCCAAAACACATAATCACTTGAATTAAAACTTGCAGTTCTAACTACCTGTCATAAAGAAAGTGCAGAAGCAACCTATTGAAATAACTTTATGTATTTTTCTCCTCAAACTTAGTGGTAAATGTAACAACTTCCTTGAATATAAGATTTATACCATCGTGTCCAAACAGCATCACTACGGTAGGGTCTTCAGGTTGACTTTTGGTGATATAAAGGTGTGTTTTGACGCCTGTATGTCTGCCCACTCACTCAACACAATATAAACATCGAACACGAGATGTTTATGAAGCTTGGCGAATTATTTATCGATGTGTAGATCAAGAGATTAAGTCATTTCAGATATATTACGATTTGATAGTTAATTTTTCTCAGTTAATTTGCCATATAACTTTTCCTTGTTTCTGTATGTATAGAGACATTACAGGTATACAAACAATTTACATATACAGTGCAGGTATACAAACAAATACTGTACCTCTACAATATACCTAAAATCTGTACCTGTCCTATATACCTAAAATCTGTACCTGTAATATATAACCTTAATCTGTACCTGTAATATATAACCTTAATCTGTACCTGTAATATATAACCTTAATTTGAACCTGTAATATAACACCTAAATAAGTATATACCTGTGTTTGTTAATAAAATCCCCCTACGATAAATTTTCCTCGTAACTTGAGACAACAGAATGCACTTACCTGACTCACTTGGGTTACAGAACACAAAGATGGTGTTCAAATAACCTCAGACATGTAACCTATAATATTGGTCACTCGATTAGTTTAGAAAAATAAGATTTAATTGTTTATGTACGGATTAATTAGATTACTTAAACTATATATGGATAATATAAACTAACTATAGATTAATTAAGATATACTTGTGTTAATTAATTTATATACTGATTAATTCTGTTACTTGGGGATTAATTAGGCCTATAACCGTGTTAACAGAATGGGAGACGGATTACATACAAGTTAATTAGACACAGGTGCGAGCGATGCTATTGGGTAAAGGTAATAAGAAGAAAATTAAGAACAATGGCTTCTTCTTTCTTCTTCTTTCATATTTCTTCTTCTTTCATTTTGTTTTATCATATTTATTATTTTAGTAAATTATATTGTTTTTCTTGTTACTATTTTTTAGAAGTAAAATTACTAGTATTAGTAGTAATATAGTAGTTGTAGTACAAGCAGTAATACAAGGAGTAATAGAAGTAGTAGTGATAGTAGTAGTAGTAGTAGTAGTAGTAGTAGTAATGATAATTTCTCACTATTAATCACAAAAGCCTTGAGTCTATGATACATTGAATTAAATTTATAACTGCTATTACAACCCTAAATATCCCAGCACAGCCCTTAGTGTCCCAGTACAACCCTTAGTGTCCCAACACTGCCCTTGGTGTCCCAGCACTGCCCTTAGTGTCCCAGCACAGCCCTTAGTGTCCCAGCCCAGCCCTTAGTGTCCCAGCAGAGCCCTTAGTGTCCCAGCACAACCCTTAGTGTCCCAGCACAGCCCTTAGTGTCCCAGTACACCTTGGTGTCCCAACACAGCTCTCAGTGTCCCAACACTGCCCTTGGTGTCCCAGCACTGCCCTTAGTGTCCCAGCACAGCCCTTAGTGTCCCAGTACACCTTAGTGTCCCAGCACAGCCCTTAGTGTCCCAGCAGAGCCCTTGGTGTCCCAGCACAGCCTTTGTGTCCCAGTACACCTTAGTGTCCCAGCACAGCCCTTAGTGTCCCAGCCCAGCCCTTAGTGTCCCAGCAGAGCCCTTGTCCCAGCACCCCTTAGTGTCCCAGCACAGCCCTTAGTGTCCCAGTACACCTTGGTGTCCCAGCTCTCAGTGTCCCAACACTGCCCTGTCCCAGCACTGCCCTTAGTGTCCCAGCACAGCCCTTAGTGTCCCAGTACACCTTAGTGTCCCAACACAGCTCTCAGTGTCCCAACACTGCCCTTGGTGTCCCAGCACTGCCCTTAGTGTCCCAGCACAGCCCTTAGTGTCCCAGTACACCTTAGTGTCCCAGCACAGCCCTTAGTGTCCCAGCAGAGCCCTTGGTGTCCCAGCACTGCCCTTAGTGTCCCAGCACTGCCCTTGGTGTCCCAGCACAGCCCTTAGTGTCCCAGCCCAGCCCTTAGTGTCCCAGCACCCTTAGTGTCCCAGCACAGCCCTTAGTGTCCCAGCACAGCCCTTAGTGTCCCAGCACAGCCCTTAGTGTCCCACAGTGTCCCAGCAGCAGCCCCCCCAGCAGCCCTTAGTGTCCCAGCAGAGCCCTTAGTGTCCCATCACAGCCCCCATCACAGCCCTTAGTGTCCCAGCACAGCCCTTAGTGTCCCAGCACAGCCCTTAGTGTCTCATCACTGCCCTTAGTGTCCCAGTACAACCTTTAGTGTCCCAGCACAGCCCTTAGTGTCCCAGCATAGCCCTTAGTGTCCCTTAGTGTCCCATCACAGCCCTTAGTGTCCCATCACAGCCCTTAGTGTCCCATCACAGCCCTTAGTGTCCCAGCACAGCCCTTAGTGTCCCAGCACAGCCCTTAGTGTCTCATCACTGCCCTTAGTGTCCCAGTACAGCCCTTAGTGTCCCAGCACAGCTCTCAGTGTCCCAGCACAGCCCTTAGTGTCCCAGCAGAGCCCTTAGTGTCCCAGCCCTTAGTGTCCCATCACAGCCCTTAGTGTCCCAGCACAGCCCTTAGTGTCCCAGCACAGCCCTTAGTGTCTCATCACTGCCTTTAGTGTCCCAGTACAACCTTTAGTGTCCCAACACAGCTCTCACTGCCCCAACACAGCCTTCAGTGCTTCAACACAGCTCAGTGCCCCAGCACAGCCCTAGTGCCGCAACACAACCCTCAGTGCCCCAGCACAGCCCTCAGTGTCCTACGACAGCCCTCAGTGCCCCAGCACAGCCCTCAGTGTCCTAGCACAACCCGAGTATCCCAGCAAAGCCTCAGTTCTCTAACACAGCCCTCAGTGTCCCAGCACAGCCCTCAGTGCCCTAACAAAGCCCTTAGTGCCCCAGCACAGCCCTTAATGCCCTAACACAGCGCTCGGTGCCACCGCACAGCCCTCAGTGCCCTCACACAGCGCTCAGTGCCCCAGCACAACTCCGAGTGTCCCAGCAACGCCCCCACTGCCCTCACACAGCCCTCAGTGCCCCAGTACAGCCCTCAGTTCCCCAGCACAGCCCTCAGTGCCCCAGCACAGCCTTCAGTGCCCCAGCACCACCACCCTGAAACATCATCACCGGCAGGTTAACCCTGACGATGCAGGAGTCAAAAATTGTAACAGGCGCCGCCACGCCCTCCAGTTCCAACTTGACAATTGGATTCTTCCCACCTCGTATAGCCGACATAGGGAACGAGTCCAATTTGATCAACATTCCAAGTGAAATCTAATTGTAGCAATATAGCGAACAAGATCCAATACCTCCTTAAGTTTGGCAAGTGAGAATGTCGTGTGAAGGTGACGCTGTACGAGGGTGAGAACACCTTGAGGGGTTGTGTCACCTGGTGGAGGAGATAGGTAGTCGTGTCTTACCTGCCCACACCTGTTGTCCTCTTGTTCTCAGTAGTCCTTTATTGTCCACAGTTGTCCTCCGTTGTCCTCTGTTGTCCCCTGTTGGCCTCTGTTGTCTTCTGTTGGCCTCTGTTGTCTTCTGTTGTCCTCCGTTGTCCCCTGTTGTCTTTTGTTGTCTTTTGTTGTCTTCTGTTGTCCTTGTTGTCCCTCTGTTGCCCTCTGTTGTCCTCTGTTGTCCTCAGCTACTGGGAGAATTAACTAACGTGTCTTAAGTATCCCGACTCTCCCTGCCTCTCCCTCAGGCGATCGTTCGTCTGGCGTAGGGAATCATCCAGAGACGCCACTAACAGTAGAAAGGCTGAAGAGAATTTATTGGTTCATTAAGTGTTTTGGATTCCACAATTTTGACACCTTAGGGGTTCGCTGAGGTAAATGCTAAAATCTGTAAAATTCTCAAATGTCTTGTTAAAACTCGTTAAAATTAAACCAAAATGGGTAAACTTCGCTAAAATTAAACCAAAATCGGTAAACTTCGCTAATGACCTGCTATTTTTTTTAAATAAGTCAAAATATGTAAAATTCACTAATGTCCTGTTAAAATTACTTTAAAATGAAACCCAAATCGGTAAACTTTGCAAATATCCTGTTAAAAATCGTTAAAATTAAGTAAAAATCGGTAAAATTCGCTAATGACCTGCCAAAAATCGCTAAAATTAAGCTGAAGTCGGTAAAGTACGCTCATATTCTGCTAAAATTCGTTAAAATTAAACCGAAATCGGTAAAATTCGCTAATGCCTCTCCAACAGTGCCTTAGATTTCGTAACACTCTTCCTAAAACTCACCAAATTTTAATTACATCAATCTAAAAGTTGCTTAAGTTTAATAAAATCATCCTGAAACCAATAAAATTTACAACCTAATCTAACCTAACCTATAATTAATAAAAAAATGCTTGCTGGACCCTCTGAGATTTTCTAGGTTTGGCGATCTTCCACTAAGTTGACAACACTGGCGACTGTGGCATGTGTGGTGGAGTGATGCCGTGGATGATGTCTTGTTCTGGCTATGTATGTATGTATGTATGTATGTATGTATGTATGTATGTATGTATGTATGTAATCTTTCACCACCTGCCCTACACGTCAATATTTTCTTTAAGACATATGAATAGTGTTTAAACATGTTAATAATTCCTTACCGGACATTATAGAATTAACTTATATTAAAAAAAAAAAAATAGAGATGAGATTAATTACGTTATCCATAATTACAGGTAAATATAACGTATTAATAACACCATAAGCAATCAATAACATTTACCAACAGGTATTATAATATCCATCTATTACAACGTATAATTTATCAATAACAAAATTACGTATTAAAAATGAAAGGTCGAGCCTGTGGGAGCTTTAGGTGAGGAGTTTTCATAACGGGGAGTAATTTATCAACACGAGCTGATAGATGATCCAGCCTTAGTTTACAGTCCTATTAGATATTCAGTTTTTTTTTGTGTTTTTATAAGAAGCGCCTCCTTAGTAATAACAGGAGTGGGGGTTGGGGGTGGGATGGCACTGTGGGGGTAAAGGTGCAGTGAGGGTGGGGGTGTGTTGCATTGTGGGGGTGTTGCACTGAGGGGGGTGTTGCACGGAGGGGAGGTCAAACTTATTTAAAAAACAAGTAAAAATTTAGGATTAAAACAGTCGATTTTTTGGGGGGGGTGTTTGTTTATGTTGGGTTATGTTAGGTTAGGTTTATGTTAGTTTATGTTGGGTTATGTTAGGTTAGGTTTATGTTAGGTTATGTTAGGTTAGGTTAGGTTATGTTAGGTTATGTTAAGTTAGGTTTATGTTAGGTTAGGTTAAGTTAGGTTTATGTTAGGTTAGGTTTATGTTAGGTTTATGTTAGGTTAGGTTAAGTTAGGTTTATGTTAGGTTAGGTTAAGTTAGGTTTATGTTAGGTTAGTTTAGGCTTAGTTTTAGTTTGTTAGGTTCAGTTAAGTTTAGGTTAGGTTAGTTTGAATGAGTAAAAAATAAAGCCAGCCTGGCAAATTATTTTTATTCCTCCATCGACCCCAACACTACCACCCATCTGTCCCTCCTCCTCCTCCTGCACCTTCTCCTCCCTCTCCTCCTCTTCCTCCTCCTCCTGCTCCTCTTGTCTTTCCTCCTCCTCATTCCTCCTCTGCTGCTCCTCCTCCTCCTGCTCCTCCTCCTCCTCCTGCTCCTCCTGCTCCTCTGCCCCTCCTCACAGCCTGTCACTCACGCCCTCATCACCATAACTCGTGCCTGTACAGGGTAGTGGAGGGGTCGTCAGTCCCTCTTCCCAGCTGTCCCGTGAATGCATCAGTGCATATTACTCGGCTCGTGTCCTCCTCCCTATGCATCTCCCCTACACTGTTATGCAAATTGGATGCACAATACCCCCCATTTTCATCCCCTCCCCCCATTTACTGTACCTCCCCCTTCATAGTACTACAGTGTATCCAACTTTACTCCCCCCCCCCATTAACCCATACCCTCTTGTGTCTCTCTGTCTCTCCTTAACCCATTATTCTCTCTCTCTCTCTCTCTCTCTCTCTCTCTCTCTCTCTCTCTCTCTCTCTCTCTCTCTCTCTCTCTCTCTCTCTCTCTCTCTCTCTCTCATTATTTGCTCCCCCCATTATCCTCTTCCCCAGTACCCATCCAATGCTACCCCTTCAACCCATTATATCATGTTCCAGCCCAGGTAAGTAGGTTTACATGATGATTAGGCACCCCCAGCTTATTTCACCTGGAGCAGTGAGGGTTAGGTTGGGGTTAGGTTAATTTACGTTCAGATGTTCAAAGTTAGTAGGACATTGATTTAAGTCAATAGACGCACTTCCTGATTTTAAGTCAATAGACGCACTTACTGGTTTTTAGTCAATAGACGATTTTAAGTTAATAGACGTACTTCCTGATTTTAAGTCCATAGACACACTTACTGATTTTAAGTCCATAGACGGTCGCACCGGTGCTACTGATTTTTAGCTCTTTACCTTGGGAAGAAACTCATTAAATTTTTGTCTTTTATAAAACACCTGTTTACCTTCTAGTTTTATCCAGATTATATGGACAATAACATCGATTATTATATACGAACAATTAGTTTATTTTAATTTATTTTTTTTACTTAATTTTATTGTATTTTATTTTATTTTACTTGATTTATTTTATTTTATTTTACTTAATTTTATTGTATTTTATTGTATTTTATTTTAATATATTTTTTCCCATAAGAGAATTAATGTAATGTGACCTTGGGTGTTTGTTTAAGTATTAATTTTATATCTTGGGTGTGTAACATTTTTCTTAAGGTTATGTTACGAAATATGTTGCAAAAATTACAATTGATAGATAGATAGATAGATAGATAGATAGATAGATAGCTTACTTCTTTATCTATCTATCTATCTATCTATTTATCTATTTATCTATATTTCCATTTACGTGTCCCTCTATATATCTGTCATCAATGTATTTTTCTGTCAGTCTATTTTTCTGTCTGTCTGTCTTTCTGTTTTTATACCTGTCTCTCAGTCTGTTTTTTCTCTGCCTGCCGGTCTGTTTTATAAGAGTGTCTGCTAAAATGTTTGTTATTTCCCTGTCTATCTTCCTCAATGTCTCTCTATGTCTGTCTGCCTGCCTGTCTACATACTCTTAAACGGGATCGTATAAGATAACCTGACAATCATTTAATATAACGTAATAGCGCCTGTTATAATGTTCGCTATAAACTGATGGTTACGTCACGACAACGAAACATTAACGACAAGTGGCGTTATTCGGTAGTTACGTTATCGGTATTACAGTCTTGTCGTTATAACCTTCCGATACCGTCATACTAACCACGTCGTTTAGTGTGTGTGTGGTGTGTGTGTGTGTAATAATAATAATAATAATAATAATAATTAACGGTTTATTGAAAGAGCTTGGCAGCCAGAAGGCTGAAAATATACAGTTACATATTTGGGGAATGGGTTACGAATTACAAATAATATACAAGTAACATAAGTGACACAAATAAGACATATAACAACTAGATGGGGAAAAGCTCAAACTACAGTTCATTTCAACGTGTGTGTGTGTGTGTGTGTGACGCAGTAACGGATGATGAGGTTTAATACTATTCCTACTACTACTACTACTACTACTTTTTTATTTTTTTTTATTTGGCCTCCAGCCTCCCCCTAATAGCCGTACCTTCGCCACCATTTTATTACCTTAAAATTAAATATTTTAATACATAAGTAGCTATCCTAGCTGTGTTGAGTTAGATGAGCTGCAGATCTATGCAGCATTCAGTGACTGTTGCCTCTTAGTCAATATCTGCAACTGTTGTCGGCTTTGGGGCCGATGCTCTCGTTCCCCTGAGGCAAAGCAAAGTCGACCTAAGGAGAGAGAAGGACAGTCGACATCTAATCCAGGCTGTAACATAACTTTAGGGCTGCTGCTTCTGTTCGGAGATCACCTCCGCGAGTCTGGCGTAGAAGCATCTTGCACTTGGTCCCATCCCACCAGAGGTTGTGAACACTAGAGGAGTGAAGCTGCCTTGATCAACGTTCTGGATTCTCTCCCAGTATGCCCTTATCTTGTCATTCTCGTTCCTCCTGTGTGCAGCATCGAGAGCTAAGTTACGGTGACATGCGACCATGGGATCAAAAATCCTGATGTCGAAGAAGGCTCACTGTCCCCGCGTCCAGAATCCTCGAGCACTGACGTCAACACGGGTTGGAAAATCTCACCGTCCAATGGAAGGAGGGTCAGTTCAACCCTGACATCACGGCAGATTTCCTTCAACATATTTGCTGTGAAGTCCCTTACTTCGTCATGCCTCATGCAT